TAAAAAGATCCCGTCTAATGTTAAGCTCTGTTCTCTCAGTTTACTAAATCTTTTATCTGATGTTAGGTTCTAGAGACTTTTGGATAGTCTTCAACAACGTGTTATTAACTAAGTCTAACATTTAATATTATTAATTATATAATATTTAACAATACTTAATTTTTAAAAAGTGCTAAATAAGCAGTTCCAATTTTTCAAAACTCTAGAAAACACTTTGGCCTCTATAACTATCTGACGATTAGTTTTCACTCTGTTATCAAGAGTGAAAACTAATCTGAGATTATCAAATTATTTCTTACTAGCTGTAATAAAGTTATTCTTGAAGGCCTACACTCTTCTTTATCTTGTAAATAAGGTATCTTGTGGTACCCTTAAAGTTACTTGAAATAAAGAAGAGTGTAATCATAAATCTTTGCCCCTATATTGTATCTTCTCTACAATGCAAATCTTCATAAAAATTTAACATTTAAAGTGGCTCTATTAGTTAACAGCTCAACTTTATACTCTTGTTTTAACAAAAAAGAGCTCCCGAATACAAGGAAGGGAAACTATTAGATGTACCTTCTCTAGCTAACTCGAAAGGAGCAACTCAAGCTAATGCAACACTTGATCTGATACAGGTTTGTGATCTGTCAGACAGAGTTGTAGCTCTAGTGTTTGATTCAGCAGCTAGCAACAGTGGTATACACAAAGGAGCTGCTAATTTAATGGAAGCAAGTTTAGATAACAAGTTTCTCTATCTAACTTGTCGTCATCACATTTTAGAATTTGTTGTTGGTGCTGTATGGAAAGTATTATTTGTTGACATTTTAGGCCTGGAAAACAAACTGTTTGCAAAATTTAAAGATACATGTTCAAACTTGAATAAAGTTCAAGCAATAAAAGTACTGAAAAATGAAAATGAATGGCTGTTAAACATAAAACATAAAGTTGTCAAAGAACTTACAGACATGCTACATTGCAAGGATCCAACAACTTTTCCAAGAGATGATTATTGTGAATCTGCTGAAAACACTCTGATAATCTTGGATGAAACTCCCCCACGTGGCGCCCACTTTCTCAAACCAGGGGGGATACATCAAGCACGTTGGATGGCCAACAACATATATGCTGGAAAGATGTATATGTTTTCCAAACAGATGTGGTATGATGCCGACATAGTTGCTAAACTCATGCGTATGTGTAGATTTTTGGCTCGTTTCTACACTCTTGAATAGATGAAAACATCTTGGGGAGTGGATGCACCTATGAACGACCTCCAGTTTATTCATGAAATGATTGATTTTAGAAGTGTTGACAAAGATATTGCTGACGTTGTGATTAACAAACTCTGTAATCATCAATGGTACTTGTCAGAAGGAGTTGTGCCGTTTGCTTTAATCAGTAAACATCCTTTAATGAAGCATGCACTAAAGAAAGAAATTGGTTGGCTTTCCAAAATAGTGGAGCAGTGGAATTCAGACCAGGCTTTTAGAGTTGCAGAACAATTTGTTTGTACAGTTAAAGTTGTTATATTTGATCACAAAATTGACTAAAACATTTTATTTGTTTCAAGTTGAAATGTGAAATGTAAAATTAACTTATTTTTTTTTTTATAGATCTGATTACCTTTATATTAAAGGGATCCCAAACTCCCAACACATGTTGTGTTCATATTAAAGATAATGTTAAAAAAAAAGGTTTGAACCAAATTTTTTTGATTAAAAATAAATAATGAATGCATACCGTGAAAAACAAATGTTGTTGTTTTTGCTGAAGCTCGTCTTCTCCATTTTTTTCAACTAATTGGAGTCTTCAAATTATGCGTCGCAATCTACAGACTTTGGCAATTCCTTTGAAGCGCGTTTAATTCATAAAAGTTTTAGTATTTGACGTCACGGTAGACTTTTAATAAATTAAACTCTAGAAATATTTTTATTTATTTTTAGTCGAAGTTTTTTTGATTATTTGTTTAGTTTGTTTTTTTTTCTACTTTTAATATTTAAAAAGATATTAAAAACCTTAAATATTTTATGCTGGTTCGTTGCTATAAATTGTTATTGCGCCATATATTTAATGTTTATAAATTATGAATATTTCTCTATGAATTATCTCTCTCTATATGAGAGATCTTTTATCTTTTATCAATTATCTCTCTCTATATGAAATATCTCTCTCTATATATCTTTCTATATGAATTATCTCAAAAATTGTTTTACATTAATTACCCGTATAAAATTAGTAACAGCTTTTTTATTTGGTTAGACGATATTTCGTTTCAATTTGCTTTGCATGAAGTTCAGAAAGTCAAACCAAAAAAATTAGTTTGAATAATCACGTAAATCAATATATATTTAAAACAAATTATTTTAATGACGGGGGTTCTAAAGTTTTTTATAACAAATGTAGGTAAAAAAATAAAAAACTAAATAAAAAGTTCAGTATTAAACACCATTTCTTTATTCTATTGCAACTGTAAATATTGAATTAATAACTTGAACTAAATTTACTTATTATTTAGAACGACTAAGCAATAAAAATAAAATGCCCCTAAAATTATTTGAGATTGTGTTGTTTATTTGATAATTGTTGTTGGCAATGTTGTTTATGTTGATTATTTTCATAAATATCAAAATAGTTCCAGATTAACCGGTTCGTTGCTTTGCTCATTGTTGATTTATTTCTAATTTAATTTTATCTCAAACTATAATTATATGTTAAAAAAGAAAAGTTTTTATTTCATCGGGCGCTCTTTTTATAAAAGAGTAGAACAAAAGAGAAAGAAAAGCAATTAAACTTTGAATGAGTAAGAGTTGTATAGAATGTATATATTTTTTTGCTCCACTCATTCTTTTTTTAGATGAGAGAAATAAAAGTTTAATAGTAAATTTTCTTTGAATAAGTGAGAATTGGAAGAGAAAATTGCTTGAAAATTTGTATTTGTTAATTGTGTTTTTAAAAATTTTTAATTTTTCATGTTAAGAGATAAATACCAATTACGACACAAATTTGGAAATACCAAATATAATATGTTTTTTAATTCGCGTTATGACATTTTAACAATCTAAATTACCATCTATCTTAAATTATTGCCTTTAATTAATGTGTTAATTATTGCGTTATTTAATAATAATTTGTCCGTATTTTTGTTAAATATTAGTTGTATAAAACAGGCGAAAATATACAAACTTTATGTTTTTTATTTGATGGTTATAAAATATTGAACAGTAAACTTATAATCAAAATTTCTAATGCTGACTTGTGTTGCAATTAATTGTACTTTTAATGCAAAATCAGGATCTCACAAATCCTTTCACGAATTTTCATATCTGATACTACTGTCAACTGTATTGTTTAGTGTATTCTTGCACTTTTTTTTCATAATCTCAACAGGTTCTAATTGGTATAGAGTTGCTGACACTTTGAAAATTTCATTATCAAAAATCAAATGTAAAATAAAATGGTATTTCCTTTTTATCCGTATCCAATTCAGCAAATTTAGCAATTTAAATTAAATCAGCGTGATCAAAAAAATTTTATAATAAAAAAAAGTTAACAATTCATTAAATATCTCTAATTAATACTGTCAGTTTATGAAAGTAATTGTTAATAAATACTTTTTTTTGACGGGAAAACAAAAAATTGTCATAGCGTAAAAATAACCAGAGAAGTTAGAAAATAGTTCCCTTTGTTTAAATAAAAATAATTAAGAATCAGAATATATAATACTGCGCTCTCTTGCGCAAAAACAAGAGACCGTATATAAAACGTTCTATATAAAGTAAAATACTCGTATGAAAATCATGAGATTGGTAAATAAAGCTTTAATATTTGTTTTAATTAAAATAATTAAAGAAATATAAGTAAGATATATAAATCTAAAAATTATTAAGATATCTGTAAAAAATAAGTTGCTCCTATAAAATAAAAATAATTTATTGTTTTTACTTTTTGAAAATTTTTTTTGCGATGTTTGGAAAAATAATACAAATAAATTTGTTTTGCTGTATGTTAAAAAAATACTACAGTAGAAAAACGCAGCTTAGTTTAATTACACTTTTCTTTTCTTAAAAGTCTACCGTGACGTCAAATACTAAAACTTTTATGAATTAAACGCGCTTCAAAGGAATTGCCAAAGTCTGTAGATTGCGACGCATAATTTGAAGACTCCGATTAGTTGAAAAAAATAGAGAAGACGAGCTTCGGCAAAAACAACAACATTTGTTTTTGCCGGTATGTATTCATTATTTATTTTTAATCTAAAAAATTTGGTTCAAACCTTTTTTTTTAACATTATCTTTAATATGAACACAACATGTGTTGGGAGTTTGGGATCCCTTTAAACATGATTTTTGTTTAAATTATAATATTTTATAATGTAAAAGATTTTAATTTTTGTTCTAAAAATGGGGTTCAAATTTGGAGGCTTTGAGGTACCAAAGTATCACTGTAAACATTATTTTTAAACATCTTATTTATAGCATAATGGGAAAAACTTCACTTCACAACGTTTTGACACTTTATACTAATCGTGGATATATATATATGTATATATATATATATATATGTATATATATATATATATATATATATATATATATATATATATATATATATATATATATATATATATATATATATATATATATATATATGCCTCAGCAGGAAGCGAGAGCTTCATCTCTTGCTCTTGCCTTATCACTCCCCTAAAACAGTTTACAAGAGCAACTTATGGCTCTCACAAAAGTATAAGTTTTCTCACGAAAGTATAACTATCGTTGTAATTAAAATAAAATACACAATGTCATTTAAAATAAATTAATTGCATAATATTCTGCAATACTTTTTAAAAAGCTTTTTAAAGTAAAAATAAAAAATTAAAAATTAAATTAAAAAAAAGCACCAATTTAAATGAGGAGCAGCTCACACAGCTCCCCATGTTCGTTTAAAGTTTTCTTGACTCTCGTGCTTATTTATTCCCACCAAGGTCTGTATATATATATAAATTCAGTTAACAATACCTAAATTAATGGCCTCCATACTGACTGCAGCAGCATCTTTACCATACCCTTTATCATACAAAAAAACTTGTTCTGGAGCACTTGGTGAGGCTTTTGGATGTAATGCTTTCAATCGACAAGTATGTGTTCGGAGCTGTTCAACAGCTCCTGATCGAAATGTATCACAAGCTGCTATCATTACACGATGGTTATTTTCCAACAACCAAAAACAAATCTAACAAAAATAACTGATGTAAGATCAAATATACATATTTATAACATATGCCTAGTAATATATATATATATATATATATATATATATATATATATATATATATATATATATATATATATATATATATATATATATATATATATATATATATATATATATACATATATACATATGTATATATGTATATATGTATACATATATATATACACATATATACATATATATAAGTTTTGAGTTAACAATTATTGTTCCATACTTTGTTTTGAGTTAACAATTATTGTTCCATACTTTATAACTTTTAATTGCTAAATTGTAAACTTCTAAAAAAAAAATTGAGTAAGACCTTATTAATTTTCTTCTTTACTAAGTTTCTATAAATATGTGTAACGAATTTCCCCTGCTGTTTTGATGTTTATAGAAAGTTTTATCAAAAAACTTCTTCAAGTTTTTTTTTTCTCTTCTTTTTGTTTGTGATATTATAACATCTTTATATACGTTATGTACGTAACATCAATTGATCTTCAAAAATGATTTATTTTGTATTTTAAAAAATTAAAAAATGTGATGACATAAAAATAGAACCACAGTGATTCACTTCAGAAATGCTGCAAGCTATCCACTCGGAAACTAAGGCGTATTGTTGGATAAATGTTTTAACACTATTTAATAAACAAAAGACTTGTTCAAATGATATGTTATATTATCAAAATTAAATCTTTCGCAATTGATTTAAAAAAATAAAAACTACAGAATTTTATTAAGAAGACTTTTTGTCAAAGCATTCAGAATACTGAAAAAATTAAAAAATTTGAAAGTGTTAAACCAAAGGAAAATTTCTTTATGTGACCTTAAATAAATAAAGGAGAAATACATAAACATATCATTTTTGATATTAAATAAAAGAAGCATTTATAGTGGTGATCAAACAAAAAAAATCACCACAATCATAAAAATATCAATGATCTTAAATCAGTATAATTTAATCTATTTATAGCCATTTTTCAAACTAGAATTTTGAGCATTCTAATAATGGTTTAAAGCATCAATTTAAGAAATTAAATTATTGTGATTCTTTAATGTTTTAATTTTTTTAAAGCCTTCATACTAATTACTACAACTATTTAAATATTGTTTAGATATGTTAACAATTTTTTTTATTGAAACAGAAATTTTTTTACATGTCTAACAGAGAGATTTAACATATTTGACATAGCTATCTCTCCATGATCCACTTTCCTGTTTTCTTTTTCCTAGTTGACTTTATAAATAAGTATAGTCTTTAACTTAAATTTTAAAAAACGAAAAAAGTTACATTAAAGTAAAGTTACGGGAAAGTTACGCAATTGTCATCTATGTTAGAGATACTTCTGCTACATTTTTAACTAATCAATTAGGTAAATATAAGCATTTAACACTCTAAAGAGACAATATTCTTTCCTAAAGTGGGAAGATGTTACTTTCAGACTTTGTCTTTCCAAATAAACAACAGGGGTGAGAGTTTTAATAAATCAAAGTATACGTAAAAAGTGAGTGTTTACTTTTTTTGCTCTAAGACAAGTTATTAAGTTACTAAAAAATATTAATGTAAGGAATAAGTATAGGAATGGTTGGTGTTGAATAGACTTACCAAGACCCACATTTTTTGAGTCTGGCCAACTAATGTGTGTATGTGTATATACATATATATATATATATACATATATATATATATATATATATATATATATATATATATATATATATCAAGCCTTACCGTACAAGGCGTGCGGTCGCACACCATATATGACCATGCATATAATACTTTGTTTTGACAACTTGGCTCTTTGCAAGTTTTAATAATTAAAAAACAAAGCAAACTTAAACTAAAATAAATAATCTACAAACATAAAAGAGAAAACTAAATAAACAAAACTAAACAATAAAATTTTTTTTTTTTAAAAAGAACTACAAAATAAATAAATAAAAAATCAGAAAAAATTAAAACATTTAATGTAAACTTAATTGTAAGCAAAAGTTAAAAAAAATTTATCACAGCTCTATCAATCTTTATCATTCCCTCCCATGAACAAATAGGCTAATACAAGGGCGGATCCATAAAGAGGAGAAAGGTTACATGGTTTGCCCTCTCCCCCACCCCCTTCAGATTTTTTATTTATTTTTTTAGAAATAAATATATTTAACACAGCATGATGTTTAAAAACATAAGTAAATTAGGCTGTTTAAAGGTGCAAATTTTAAATTTAATTAAAAAGTTAATAGGATACATGGTACGACAAATCGACAAGTGTGTACATGTTTGTTAAAAAACAGATAGAAAAATGAACATCACATCTATTTAATTTTGCTTATGCAAATGTTGGCAACGTTTGATTACAATTTTTTAAAACAAACACATTGTTTCAGCAATTATTTTTCCAAATAATTTTGTGATTGATAGTTTTTTATTTATTGTAAAAAACACATTTTTAAAACAAAACAATTAATTTCAGAGACTAAAAAAACCAAGCCAAAACATAATTACTTTTTTCAATAGCGTTACTTTTAAGTAAAATAACGAAGTATACTGAAGAAAGTAATCATGTTTTAGTATGGATTTTGCATGCACTTACAAAAGCATGCAAAATTTTATTTAAAATAAATGATTTTGCAAAAACTTTAAAAGAAACTGTTCTTAGACATTATGGTTGCTTTATTTTATTAAAGAAAGCAATCATAATGTTTAAGCATGGTTTCTTTTAAGTAATTAACAATTACATTAAAAGTATAAAGCAAATGCATTCATTATAAATAAAATTTTGCAAGCATGTTTTTTTTTTTTTTTAATTTACTTATTTCCCTTAAAGTGAACTAATGTTTGTTTGCATATTATAACACTTTTGAAAATTTTTTTATTGTGCATTTACCATTATTTTGCCTGCTTTTTATATAAGATTTTTCTTATAAGATGTGCGACCGCACACCTCTTACGCAAAGTCTTAATATATTTATATATATAAAATTATTAAAAAAAGACCTAAACAAAGGAATAAGAGATTAGTGAAAACTCAAGCTCATAAAAGTGGGAAATGCGTAACATAAGTTACAACTATGTAATGATTCATGGCTTTATACATAGATTTATTCATAGTTGTAACTTATACTCTTGTTTATGACCACCATTTTTGCAAAACATGTTTGTAATAAATTATTAATAAGCAAATAGAAACCTTTGCAAGATTAGTTGACTTTCCAACACCGTTTACACCACAGAACACAATAACATATGGAAGACCTTTTTTTTTAGATTCCATAACATCACGTAAGATATCAATACGCTTCTTAGGTGACAAGATCTGCACTAATGATTCTTCCATACTGCTTCTTACAGCAGTAGCAACTCCTTTTATAAAATAAAATCTAAATGTCAAAAATGACATTAACAAAAACAATAAAAAAAAAATTTATAATTATAAATCTGCATAAAGTAATTGTTAAACTGTTAAGATGTTTTCAAAGTAGATTTTAAGTTATGCTGAACTGTTTTGAGATGTTGTTAAAGTAAATTAAATTGTTAAAAAGCTGAAATGTAACTGTAACTATTTATCTTTTCCCATTCAACATCATTTTTTCATGAAATTCATTTTTAATTTAACTTCATTTTTTAATTTTTAACTACAACATTTTCAAACATTTTGTTCAATATTCATTTATTTTTAATATATTTGAATATTTTGTTCAAAACTTGTTAAAAAGTTAGACTGAAGGTCAACTTAACAAAGGAACTTGAAGCAAAGTTGAAATTCTAAAAATGTTACCAGAAAAAAATTACCAGTGAATGTTCCTAGAACCTTTCCCTCCAATTTGGCAGCAACTGAATTACAAAGTTTCTCTGAAATGTCTGTAGCTACATTTTTTGCTAATAAAAAAAGAAGAGAAAAAATGAAAAAAACTTTATGGATTAATGTATAACATAACTTACAGAACAACCAAATTGAAAAACAGGACATGGTTTGACGTGTACTTATTTAAAAGTGGTTTATGTATCTCATATTTTGAAAACAGAAACAAAATAATTTGATGTAAAAATCTTTAATAATCTTACAGCATAAATGCTCCCTCATCTTATCCAACACTGGCTGCATTGCTTCCATTGTAATTGCTTTTTGGCCAGCCAATCCTTTAAAAAATGAAAACACACTGCCACCAACAGAACTTTGGCTAAAATAAAATTTAAAATTTGTAACTGTGTTTCCAAAATAAATTATACACAATATTTTAAAATATTAAACATCTAAATGAACAACCTTAAAATTTTATTACTATAGTAGCCTGAGTACTAAACTACAGTGAGCATTGAGACACCTAGTTCAAGCGCAATCTAGATGTCTTAATTTTTGATGATTTCATGATAAAAAATTAGGTAGATATAACTGCGCTAAAACCTTCAGAGGACATGGACTGTTTTAGTGTACTTATCTCAAAGCAAGCCAAGCCTTACATTTATTATCTAAAGACACAATGTAACTAAACTTTTAATAATAATAAATAAACATGTTTGAGATAATAAACAAATATTATAATAATTATAATGATTATAAATATGTTTGAGATAATAAAAAAATTATAAGTTTTGAGGTTTCCATTTTACTGACTTGCAAAACTCATTTTACTGACTTATGCTAAACTCATTTTTTGTGGTAATGACATATTCATATTAAATAGCAATACTTAATAAACAGAAGTGAGGTATTGACTTGAACTTTGGTACTTCACGAAAATATTAAACATTAACTCAAATATCAATTTATAATTTGATTAGAGCATCATACGTATAAATTAAATAAGAAAGATATATATAACTTAATTATATATAATTTAAGGTATTTTTAACTTGAATTAAATTTAAATTTAGCTTATTTAAATGCTCAATATAAAATTATTTATTAATTTGTTCATAACAAAGTTAACAATATTCTGTTTTTAGTTCTTTTTGAGCCAACAAATTTATATACAGATCAGGAGGAACAGAGTATTTTATGCTAAACTCAAGATATAATAGGTTTCACATAATACGAAAAAACAAAAAAATTTTTGCTTAAAAAGTTAGGTTTGATATTCATTTTTAATTTAAATTTAATCTTAAGTTGTAAAAATTATTAAATTTTAATTTAAAATTTTTACGTACAAGCCCTGAAAAATTACTATTTTTAGATGTAATATTACAAATTTAGAGGTAATATTACAAATTTAGAAGTGATATTACAAATTTAGAGGTAATGTTACAAATTTAAAGGTAATATTACAAATTTAAAGGTAATATTACAAATTTAGAGGTAATATTACAAATTTAAAGGTAATATTACAAATTTAAAGGTAATATTACAAATTTAGAGGTAATATTACAAATTTAGAGGTAATATTACAAATTTAAAGGTAATATTACAAATTTAAAGGTATTATTACAAATTTAAAGGTAATATTACAAATTTAGAGGTAATATTACAATTGTGATCAATCTTTCAACCCTATAAATGCATAACAAGAAAAAAAACAACAGAAAAACAAGAAGAGTCAGAAACAAGAAGACAAGCATGAAGATAAACAAGAAGAACCATAATAAGAAGACAAACAAGACGAGTCAGAACAAGAAGACAAATATGACTACTGCACACAAAAATTTACTTTAATTTAAGAATATAATACCTTATAATAAATGGTAAACATAACTGTATAAGTATGAATGTATGGCACAAATAACTGTGTATTAAATATATTTAAAAGCTATATTATAGCTCTAAATATACTTATATATTATATAAATATATTTAATAATATATAATATTATTATTATTATTTTTTTTTAATTTTAATTCACCTCCTCAAGGCCGAGAAGACCACTACAGACGAGGAGGCTACTTATTTGTGGCTATAACCCTCTCTCAACTCTATAACTCCGAAACACGAACCTTGACGAACAAGGCCGCTGCGCGGAGAAACAAGTTGAGCGCGGTACTACCAGGGACGTTATAATATCCATATGTTTATCAAGCTTGTTTTTCAAGATTTTTACACTTTTTTTCAGAATATACATACATTATAGCTTTAAATATATACATTTAATTATATATTGTTAATTTATATATTATTTGTAATAAAAACAAGTAATAAAAATAAAAACAACAGCAACAAAACAGTTATCAAACCTTTTTTTTGTATCATTTCCTACTGTGACTTTTTTAGAATCTTTGTCTTGTTCTTCTAATTCTTCTTCCTCAATATTACCTTTTGAAACTTCAATGGATTTAAGTTCACCTCTCATTTGTCCGACCATAGCTTTCTAAAAATGATGTTATGGTTTATTCAAGTAAATGACATTTAAAAATATTTTTAAAAAACTCATAAAACAAAATTTTTCTTGACAGGGACTTTTCTTTTGTTGCAAACCATGATAGAAAGGGCTCTTATTTGTTTTTCCTTTGTATATGTATAAATCTAAACCCTTCATAGATAACATCATTCTAAACTTCTAATCCAATTACTGACAACTTACTCTAAATTCCAGATCACATAGCAAAATTAGTCAGCATTCATTTCACTCCAAAGAATTCAACTAAAACTTTAATGTTGATCAGTTAAAAAACTTGGCAAAAATAAATTCACCCTGGAAAAATCTGAAGTTAAACAGGATTTCTACATTTAAAATAAGAATGATAGCAACTACTTTTTTAAAAAAGTTCAACAAAATTCTAGATGGCCATGTTTCCATTAAAGTTACCATTAATTAAATTTAAATTTAAGATTACAAATGAAATTTGATTCAAATGAAAGTTAATACCTGAGAGAAAACAAACTTTAAAACAAAATAATAAGTTAATAATAACAATTAATAATAACAAACTAAAAAGTACTGTTTGATATATTTTAATCATACAGAAAATAAAGCAACCTTGATAATATTGTTAAGTAGTTTAAAAACTTTATAAAAAGTCAGCAGTAGAACAAAGTGGATTGGAATCAAATTGTTAGAAAATGCTCTAAAAACTTTCATACTGTTATAAAAAATCAGCAGTAGAGCAAAGAGGATTGAAATCTAATGGTTAGAAAGTACTATGAAAACTTTAATACTGTTATAAAAAGTCAGCAGTATAACAAAGAGGATTGGAATATAATTATTAGAAAAGTTGTTAGACTCAAGTTGAGATATTAGAAGTTTGTAAATTAAAGATTCAAAACTTTGATGAAAGTAGTTATTGGGCAATATTTAGAGGAATCTGAGTTTATAAAAATTGAAACCAATTTAAACCTAAGATGCGATTTTCTGGCATAAAGGAAGGCAAATTTCAGATAATTGCTTGTTAACTAGTTGAGAGATTTTATTATTATTATTTTTTCTTCTAAGTATTACTCTTATTTTCATGATTATTATCATTATTCAATTTATTATTAATAAAAATGTTTTTTTTTCTTAAATCTGATTGTAAACTATTTTCAGAATATGTTTGATTTGCTTTTGATTGACACTATCCTAAGCCTTCCAGAAGAAAAACCAGAGAAACTAAGAGAAAATATATCCAAACCAGAGACAAAACATTCTTTAATTTAGTAGTGTCTCAATAGTTCAAACTTAATTAAGTGTTTCACTAAATTAACCTAATAATTTTTCCAAAAATACCACATTGATGTTGTGCTTATGTTGATTATTTTTGTCATTTATGAAGCGCGGCTGTTATATTGGCATTGTTCAAGGGTTTTTAATGTTTTATTTAGACATTAGAAAATATAAAAGTTTCAAGTTTTCAAATAATCAAGTTTCCAAGTAATTGAGCATGAATTAAATAACTTAAAAATTTTGATTTTTTCTAAATTCTTTGTAGTGAAACACTTTTAATTAAAAATAAAAACATATATTAATTTTATGCTTTTATCTAATCTGATTTATATTTTATTCATTTTATCATTTGTTTCAATTTTTCATTTTTTAGTTTTGTTTTGTAATTTTTTTTTTAGTTTTTATTTTTCTTTCCAGTTTATAGTTTATTTTTAGCCATTATATCATTTTAGCCAAGGATATCACTTTTGAGCCATTTTCTATGGCTCAAAAGTGAAATCCTTCAACCACGCTCAATTTTCACAATCAAGGTCCTTGCAAGGGATTTTATTGTTTTTTGCAAGGACCTTAAAAGTGAAAATTGAGTGTGGTTGAAGGACATCACTTTTGAGCCATAGAAAATGGCTCAAAAGTGATATCCTTGGGTAAAATGATATAATGGCTAAAAATATACTATAAAAATATATATAAAATATACTATAAAAATATATATATAAATATACTATAAAAAACTATATAAAACAAACTATAAACTGGAAAGAAAAAGAAAAACTAAAAAAAAAAATCGAAACGAATGATAAAATGAATAAAATATAAATTAGATTAGATTGCAATTTTATTGGTTTAAAAAAATTGAAGAGTTATTGGTTACGAAAATGAGTCAAATAAAGTTTTAACTTTCAAAAAATAGCCATTGTAAGAAATAGAAAAGGCCTCAAGATTGAATGAATTTTCTTTCATTCTTTCAATGCAAAAAGAAAAAAAAAAATTCAAGGGGTAATATTGCATCGGTGAAATAACTCCACTAAAAAAGTTATACTTTTTGTATATTTTAAAGAAAAACACAAAGGAGTTTTTTTTTAAAATATACAAACTCATTTATTATTTTTATTTATCTTAGGTTATTTATCAAGGTTGAATCAGTTGCATATATAAGATTTTTTGATGCTTTAGACAAGACATTTTCAACCATTATGCAAACTCCAAACTTAAGTGTTTTCATGTTTATGTCAAATGAGAAAACTTTGCAAAAAATTGCAGTAAATAGTTTAGCTTAATTCGTCGTTTAAAATGTTTCATATGTACAAAAATATAAAAAACAGTATATAAATGTCTGCAGCAAGAAGAAAACATAAATTAACCCTATCACTGAGCCCCATTAGAAATGCTTTTTGGAACCTGAATACCCCAAGAACACTATGTGCAGAACCCCAAATGTGAGGGCAATAAGTTAAATTTTTCTTCTTCTTTATATCGTATACTAAATTTAAATTCATTGACAAGTTATAATCATGTTACTGTTTGATGTTTCCCCAAAAGGACGGGGTTTTAAATTTATATGGTCATATAATTTCGAACACAAAATGGTTACTAAATGAAATTTAAAGCCTTTTGATGAATTTAAATTTAGTATAAGTAAAAAATTATTTTAATTAATCATTGTCAACACATTTAGGGTATGGGGAAAGGAGGGGGAATGTTTAAGGGGTATTTTGGTTAACAGGCTTCAATTACCACATTTTTTCAACACCATTGCAATCAAAATCAATTAATGTTCAAAAGATTTTCAAACTGAATGAAAATGAGGTAATTCATTTATAATCCCAGGATAGTAAAACTTTTTGACAATGGTCTTTCAACCAAAATCTAGATTTTTCATCAAGGCTTTTAAAAACAAAAATGTTGGATTTTTTTTTCTAGAAAATTTTTTTTATCTTAATTTATCAAGGTTGGGTCAGTTTTGTAGGCGCTGTTTTTTGATGCTTTAGAAATGACATTTTCAAGCATTAAGCAAAAAATAAGTTTGGGTAAAGTTAGGATTTTGGCTGTTTGTAGCGAAGTCCTTTTTTACAACAGTATGGAGCAGACATAAATGACAGGGTAAAACATAAATGGCGACAATTTTTATCTGATGAGATAAACTAGGTATTTGTGCTTAGCCTCTTCAAAATGCCAGTAGTAATTAACGCGAATCTGAGGAGAAGTTTATTACCACCACTACATTTATTATGATTACACAAAAGCAATAATGTTTTTTCTTTATCTTATACCTCCTAACATTTTATATTTATTTTAAATATTGATATATCTATGCATATGCATATTTTTTGTTATGCAATTTAAACTTTTGTAATCAAGATTTATGGTTACTTATGTGTCCTGTTTTGTTTTAGGTATACTTTATATTAATTAACTTTAATATGATTTATCATTAAACTTTTTAAATTTAGTAAATATAAACTAAATTATACACTATGCTATCTAATATTTTTTAATAATAACCAAATTTCTCAACATTTGCTCTTTTTATATTCATAAATTTTAAAAACCTTTAATAAGTAAATGAGACACTTCATGCATAAAATCTAACTTTCTTAGACACTTCATGTATAAAAACTAACTTCCTCAGATACTATGTTGATAAATCAGACACTTCATGCATAAATGAGACATTTTATGCATAAAAACTAATTTTCTCAGACACTTAATTCATAAATCAGACATTTCACTGATTAATCTAGGAGGTTTGGTTTTCGGATCAACATTTTTTAGTAAGAACTAAAAAAAAAAATCATACATCTTCTTCAGAAACATCGTTCAACATATTGTTAGAATGATTTTCATTAGATTCACTATAATCAAGCACTAATGCATCTTTCAATAATCCTCCATTTGTCCAAGAACGACCTTCTTTGACTTTTTTACCCTTTTGTTGTGGTGACTGTTTGCTATTAAACAAAAGGAACAAAGTTATTATATTGGTAAAAAAATAAAAACCTAATCTCAACTTCATTATTGTTTACCTTTCAGTCTTCACTTTCTTTTTTCCTTTGAGCATTCCCTTAATAAGAAGTTGCCGATTTTGCTCAATAATTTGGTCTTCAGTAATTAAGTCTGCTTCTTCAACAACTTTTTCTGTAGTAGATGTTACCGAGTCAGAGGTAGACTTTGATTTTGATATTGGCTTTGGGGATATGGGAGCATCTAAATTTATATAGCTAATTAAAAAATTTTTATATAATTAAATTCAGAAACATAAAAACATTATTAAATTTAAAAATTAATTACAACTATTATATTAGCTTTTTCTATATTATATATATTAGTTATATTTATATATATTATATATATATTAGTTTATCTCTTTAATGGTTAATATGTATTTGGATATCTAAAATATGTTTAACATGCATCATAAAATATGTTTAATATGCATCATATTCAAGTAGGTCCTTATTTGAAAAAAATGTGAATTTAAATTTTTCACTGACAAATGTTTTTCACTGCAAAAAAGAAATGATTCTAACATCTATTTAATAAGTTAATATATTACATTAAACATATGAATCATGTGTGACTTTAAGAGAGTGTTTGATAGTTGATTTTTAATTTATAAATTTAAAAAGTTACTGTCAACATATAATGTTCATTAATATAGATGAATCTTTACCAAAATATTGATTTTTGATCTTGAATTTAATCTTTTTGCTTTTGTTCCAGTTCTTGTATCCAGCTTAATGATAAACAAGTTAATTTGGTTTCATTTTTATTTTTATAATTGACCTCATATGATCTGATCAAACATTTTTTTAAATTGTTTTTAAAAATTATTTTGTCAGTCTTATTGACTATTACACCATTTTTCAGTTTTTCATTCATATTAAAAAGTTCTTCTTCTTATTTTTAAATCAATTAGTATATATATATATATATATATATATATATATATATATATATATATATATATATATATATACATATATATATATATATATATATACATATATATATATATATATATATATATATATATATATATATATATATATATATATATATATATATACTCTATTTTATAAAAATCTATGTAAACTTTAAAAGTAAAAAATAAATAAAATAAAAAACCAACCATCGCTCTTTATTTTTTTTTCGTCTTTTTTTGTATTACTTAATTCTAAAGTGCCACGCTGTTTCATGATTTTTTTTGCACAGTTTGAATCAGCAAATGACTTCATTTCACGTTTGGCCATCTTGCTGGATTGTTCATTTTCTGCCAATATATTGACAAATATTTCTTGGAAATTAAACGAAGAAAATAAACTTCGAATGATTTGATTCTTATAACGATCTCTAAATTCTAACTGGATATCAGAAAGGAGCTTGTCAATGTATGAAAGACGTAATATGTTTTGATATCCAACCTAAACAAAATACTTTCTAAAATAAAAATTTTTCTCTTTCATTTGTAATTTTAATTTAAAAAGTTGTTATATTAACAACTTTTTAAATTAAAATTACAAATGGTATTTTAAAATGTTTGTTTTTGCATAAAAAATACAAAACAACAGATTTTTATAGTAATTTTACATTTTTTGTTTAACTTTTTTGCTGACAACATACTGACTAACATTGACTACAACATGCTGACAGAAACTTTATTGACTACAACATGCTGACAGAAAAGTGTATGCATCGTGAGACACCAAAAACTACTAAAAAAGTGAGACACCATGTCTACTAAAAAAAAATATACACACATTATCTTAAAAGTTTAACTATTTTCTTCATTTCTTAGATTGTTTTTATTAAACTAAATCTAAAGTTCATTTTTTTTTTTCATTATAATTTTGGTCTTCATTTTAAATTTTATATTTATCATAACAAATAATTGGAAAAGTTTTTGTCAATCAAGACAAAAAAAATAGTAATAAAAAGTATTCTGTTCAGAAAACTGAAACTTTATCTCATCTATGAACTCTATCTCAGCTATCTTTATCTACCATTTAAAACCATAAAAAGCGAATTGACAGACGACTTGAAAGATTGCAAACTATATGAATCAGGAAAGCATGATAAAGGAAGCGAATTCCAAAGAACTGATGTTCGAGGAAAAAAACTAGACGAATAAGAATTTTTGGAGCACTTAGAAACAGTAACAGAAAAAGGATGAGACTTGGTTGAATGACGAGTAACACGAGAATGAATTTTTGTAGATGGCACAAGAGACGCTAGCTCTTTAGAGCAATGCCCATTATAGTATTTGTAGAAAAGAGAAAGAGAAGCAACATTACGACGATGTGACAAAGATTGAAGGTTGGCTGCAAGAGCAGGTCCAACTATGTTTACAATGCGTTTTTGCAACTTGTCTAAAAGAGAAAGGGCATCATTAGAAGATCCACCCCAGATATGGCAACAGTATTCCATACAAGGCCAGATTTGAGATTTATAGAGATAGGGAATAGAATCCAGAGTAAGAATGTGACGAGCTCGATAAAGAGAAGCGACTTTAGCAGACGCTAATCTTGCAACAGATTTGATATAAGGTTTCTAAGAAAAATAAGAAGTAAGAGTTAATCCTAGAAGATGAAGGGTAGGAAACTCATCGAGTACATTAACGTTCATAAATATAGGAAGGTCTAAATTATTGCGATAACAATTGGCTGAAAAAAATTGAGTTTTATCTGAATTAAAGTTCACCAGCCACTGTGAGCCCCATGCTGTAGCAGAAGTAAAATCCTTTTCCAGCTCAGATGCCCCATGCAACCAATCAGAGGGAGTTGGCTTCTTATAGTGACAAGAATAAATGGTAGTATCATCAGCGAACAATGCCACCTTAGATGTAAGAAAATCTGGCAGATCGTTAATGTAAAATAAAAAGAGTATAGGGCCAAGGATTGAACCTTGAGGAACCCCTGAGGTTACAGAATAAGAAGAAGAGTGTTGTCCATCAAGGACAACTTTTATACTACGATTGGAAAGGAAGGATTCGATAATCTTAAAGATGTTTCCAGATACACTGTAAGAAGAAAGCTTATGGAGAAGACCAGCATGCAAAACTTTATCAAACACCTTAGAAATGTCAAAAGCGATGGCCTTAACCTCTCCACCTTTATGTAATGCACAATAAAACCTATCGGGTATTACTGTTAGCAAATCAGCTGTAGAACGAGAAGATCGAAATCCATATTGATGATCAGAAAGTAGGTTATGAGATTCGAGATGAGAGATTAAGTGTTTGTTAATTTAAGATTCAAAAACCTTGCTTATGATAGGAAGAAGACTAATGGGACAGTAGTTAGACGAATCAGATGGCTTTCCAGATTTTTTAAAAATAGGGATAACAGATGCTGCTTTCCAGCAGGCTGGAAAACAAGACTCTGATAAGCACTTGTTAAATAGTTTTGAAAGGATGGATGACAGCTCCGGAGAACACCTCTGCAAGACTATAACAGGTATGTTGTCCAGACCGCAAGCTGTAGAAGAGTCTAAGCAGGAAATCACTTTAGATACAGAAGCTGGAGTGATATGGATGTCGAGCAGTGGATCAACCTGTTTGACGGCTATATCAGGTAGAACGCAACTAGTGGAATCAAGAGATGATATTGATGAAAAGTTCTTGGCAAACAATTCAGCTTTGTCTTTAGGTGAGGTGACAAAGTCTGAACCGTACAAAAGAAGTGAAATTACAGACTTGCCCTTATTATTGATACTACTAAAGATTCTCCAGAAGCCACGAGAGCCTAATTTTTGTGATGAAGTACGAGATTTCATGATCTGAGAATAGCGGGCTTTATCATTAGACAAAATCTTTTTACAATGGTTCCTAGCAGTAATAAACAGACGTCTGTTTTCTGGAGAATTGTTTTGCTGATAGATATGGAAGTAATGGTTTGGATTAGCAATTGCAGCAGCACAATGTGAGGAAAACCATGGAGAAGAGTGAGGGTTGACCTGGAATCGTCGAAAGGAATAAAGGATTCCATGCCAGCCTGAATCCATGAAGTTATGTAAGAAGCACATTTGTCAACAGGAAAAAATCAACAGGAAGACGAAAGATTTTCACCCAGGGGCCATCACAAAGAAAATCACGGAAAGAGTCCCAGTCAGCTTCAAGGTAGTTGTAAGATGTACAATGATAGGGGGATTCTGATGGTAAAGAAGAATGAGATAATTGCTTTAGAGAAACCAAACCATGATCAGAAGCACCTAAGGGTGAGTGTGGAGAAACTGAGCATTGACTAGGATCAGAAACAAGACATAAGTCCAGTAGAGAAGGTAAATGATTCGGGTTGTCTGGAAAGCGAGTTGGAAAGTTGACTATTTGAGTTAGGGATTGAGAAAGGCAAAAGTTGTGGGCCTTAATGCCTGCAGAGTCACTGACACTAGAGCTAAGCCATTCAGTGTGATGAACATTAAAGTCACCGACAACAACAATATTGGCTGATGGATAAAGAATGAGGGCTTGGTCAATATAATCAGAAATAACATCAAGAAGAGTGCAGTCTTGAGATGAAGGAGAGCGATATAGAACAAAGAGAAAGGTGATAGAGTGAAGTTGTGCTAAACGAAAGCACATAAAAGAGTAGTCTGTGGATTCAAACCTAGTTTCCCGACAAATGGGTGAATTCTTACAAATGTAAATGCCTAGGCCAAGCATGTGACTATTGCAGTCTTTACGAGTTAAAGGAAGATAACCATCAACACTAAGATCACAAGATGAGACAGTTGAACTCAAATTAGTTTCACAAAGAGCAAGTAGGTCTGGTGAACTTTGCAAGAGATAAGACTCAACAGAAGAAAAGTTACTTCGAACACCACGAATATTGGTGAATGATAGGTTTAGCAAACTTGGTGATGACTATGGTTTTTTGTGTTTTATAGTTTTTGTTACTTTATTCATTTTTAAATTTCTCAAAGGGATCCCTAAGTTCTTAAAGGGATCCCTTAAAGGGATCCCTTAAAGGGATCCCTTTAAGTAACTAAGTGCTATAAAGATATGATCTCATATAAAAGAGCATTAAAAAAAAATGTTTGATGTATATTATTTTTTCTAAAACGTAATAATGAACACACACTAACAAATTTAATTTTCAAAAAAACGGTTTTCTTCGATTAAAAAAAATGCGTCTTGTCCAAAGTTTATTGACTCTATTGCCTCAAAAAACTAACGTTTGTACATCAAAATAAACAAAGTAGACAAAATGCCATTATTGCAAACTTATTAGTTGGTAATTATATTTAAAAGTAAAGTCGTTTTTTTTTCAACTAACACAATTACTTACAAGAATAAGTTTTGTATTATTTTGTGAAAATATATTTGTATATTAAAATTTTTTTTATAATTTTAATTTATATATTTGTGTTATATATTTGTGTTATAATTTTAAACTCTTTTTAGTCAGTTTTTAACAAATGAATATTGATTTAGACACATGAAAGTTTATTTAAAATATTTCCTTAGTACAAAAATAAATTTATTTCAGTCATTTTTATGGTTTCAAAAGTGACGGACAAAAGGTTACTCTCATTTTTGCTTGATAAAAAAAATAATTATTGTAAAATGTTTTACTTAAATTAAAATTTATGTTAATTTTGCTATATTTTTGGTTCAAATTAATAAGGTTGAATAGACATTTTATTAGAAATTAAACTAAGACAGGGCTCGAATTAACGCAAAAAAAATCTAATTGCGAAAAAAATTTTTTTTTTTTGCTCTCCCTCTCCCCCCCCCCCTCTCTCTCTTATAGGTCGCGCCGATGTGCGTGAATGGGGGGGGGGGGGGAGTTATCGTCAATAAATCAAAAAACTTCATCAAAAACTTAATAAAAAATTATATACCACGTTTTTTATAATTTATTGTTTCTTGAATAAAGGACTAATAAAAGTTTAAATATAATTAAGTTTTTCATTTAAATGGGTGATGTTTTTATTCAATTTTTCTATTTCAAGTTTTCCAATAAAAGATGAAACAAAAAAATTGGTTAAATAAATCGAAATATACTTCACGTTTAAAATAAGGCTTGAAAACGTTAAAGTAAAAAAAATTGCTGGTTTTTATTAGCATTTTTATACTGTTTGAAAAAAAAAACTAATAAAAAAGAATTAACTAATAATATATTAATTAATAATTATTAGAATTAATAATAGTAACAATTAATTCTTTTTTATTAGTTTTTTTTTTCAAACAGTATAAAAAAGCAAATAAAAGTAAGTATTTTTTTCGCTCTAACGTTTTTAAGCCTTATTTTAAACATGAAGTTTTGATAAACAAAGATAAAAACCAACTTTTCAACTTTTCGCTTTAACGACCTTGTAAAAATTTTCCACGCAGAGATTTAAAGTAATTTAAATTCAAAAATGTTTAACGTTGAAAGAAAATCTCCGCGCGAAAGAGCAAATCTATCTATTCAGAATAATAAATTTTGTGTGACGTTCTTTATGATAAAAATATTACTTTTAAGGATTGCTAAAAAAAATGCTAAGCTAGAAAAAAATTAAACAACCAAAAAAAAAAAAAAAATAGCGAAAAGATTTTTTTTAAGAAAAAACTAATCACAAAAGTGTGAAAAGCAATCGCGATCGCGATACGCTTAATACGAGCCCTGTAAGACTTTTTTATAAGTTTTAAACTATTAAAAACTATTACTTAATAACTTTTTTTTAACGACGTCTTTCAACCGAATGATATTATACTGTTTTTGCAAAACTAATTTAAAAAACTTGATTAAAACTTAACTATTTAATCACGACTTTTTTTTACTTGAAAATTGAAGTAGATATTTTAAAGTTGTTGTGACGTACTAACGTGATTTTTAACGACTAACAATCGAGTTTCAATGGTGAAAAAATAAAATCAAAAAGGAGATGTTTTTCAGTGATTTCGGCAATTGCATTTTGTTAGCATGCATTTATTATTACAATTTAGTGAAAAAGAAAAAAAACTTACATATTTTTTTTTATGCTCTTTCATGAGATCATATTTTAGGAGCACTTAGGGATCCCTTTAAAGAACTTGACTCGAAACATAGATAGTACTTAGTGCACTGTTTTATAGCCCAAGCAATTGCCTCATTTCCAATAATAAATCCTAAGCCATAACAAAGGGCTCCAATGTGGCCTCGGCAATGCACACCAAAGTACAAACAGGGACACCATCCATGCGCAACATGGCACTGTTAGTACTCTGATATTTTTCAGCTGTTGATGGAATCAGCCTCTCTGAGAGCTACCACAGAGTTCGGAAAACCTGATTACCAGCCGGCCTCAAAACCATAAAACTGAGTTTTAGAGCTGTACCCTCATTTGGAGATAATAGAATGAGTTGCCTAGTCATAAAAACAGAGACACAAGCAAAACCCATGCATCGAGTCATGAAGATCCAGCGTTCAACATCCTAAACTGGAAACAATGTATTAAAAATACATCTGCGCCAGCCTAATAGATGGAGAAGGGGTGCGAGGCTGGTCAACAGATAGAATCTGTTTACCCCTTAAGTCTTTGCCTAGGAGGCCTTCTACAAGACAGCAGCCGGATGCATTTAACATCTGCCAAAGATGAGTATTTTGATCGAGACACCATCTCTAGATTTTTATCGAGACACCATCTGCTAAAAAAAAAAAAGAACTCTGATGACATAATTGAAAAATCACCAGGCTCATCATTAAACTCACATTTTATTGGACCTTGAATAAATATAGTTATTAAAAAAAGTATGATCATGCATTTCTTAGACTTATAATTGAAGATGGAAGATCATTTGAGACAGCTTCTTGATCTTGATTCATCTACTTGTGCTTGGTGTTTACTCATGGACAATATCACTCACCACACCTGACCACTTTGTATCTAAATTTAGGTGATATGGTTGATGAACTATATATAATAGCTTTTTACAAAATATAAAACAACAGGTTATCTCTAAACATGGCATCACTTTTTTATCGCTTTAAGGTCCACAATTGCATAACTTTCTTGATTTTAATTGAAATTTTATTTCATCCTCATGGGTTTTAGAATCATGCTCTTTATCAGTTGTAAATCTGGAAATAATAAATGCTTGTCACAACGCTACCTTCCACTGAAGAAATTTTAACAAACCTGCTTTCAAAATTTTGACTTGACTTTAGATAATATTTAACGATCTAAAACTGACAATACTTCTATTATGCAGCAAATACTTCAACTTCTTGAAACTAATTGGGAAGGCTGCTGTGCTAATAAAATTCAACTTTACGTGAAATCAGCTGTTCATAACCAACCAATTCTTGTGATATTAACTAGCAAAGCTCATAAAACAGTTGTGTTTTTTCACTCATCATCAGTCATATTGGCAGCTATCAAAAAGATCAGATTTCTCATAAAAACCTCAAGGAGTCAAAGTCTCAAATAGATGTGCAAACATGCTTTAATAGCACTTCTAACTTATTTGAATAGAAAAAAAATCATGGTTCTATAAATCATGCTCAAGTTGTGTGCACACAGAAAAAACACAATAAAAGTGACACCAACTTACCTAACTAAAACACAAGTGCAATTATTAACTATTGTGACTCATAATTTAAATGCAGTATCTGAAACCACTACTATTCTAAATGTGGAGAAAAACATAAGCTTTAGTTTAGTTTATTCATGCATTACAACTTTGAAAAAATGCTGCCGCTCAATGGGTAAATAAAGGATAAATAAATTTGTTGATGATCTTACTACGCAGTCGGAAATCAGATTTAAATTAAGTAAAAACGTTTTTGTCCTCGCACTTTAACGCTTTGGAATTCACTCCCATCTTAATGTTTTCCTGACTTAAAATCTTCAACTTTTCCAGTCTTCTGTAAACCGTTTCCTTGCTCTGTAAGTCTTTTCTTTTTTTCTAGTAACTCCCAACTTAATAGTGGTTGCTTGCAGCCTTATTGAAAATGACTCAAAAAAAAACGATCATTCATTAAACTAAATTATTATTTATACATTAAACTGTACCCAGATATTATTTTTTGGCAGTGTATCTTTTATTTGATAAGAAAATCTTTTTTATTTCTCTCATTTCAAACGATTTTGTTTATTGACAACATGACCACAAGTGTTCAGATGTTTGGATGATTTAAACATTTCAGAAATTTAAAGCACTACAGAAAAAAACAAAAAAAAAACAATACCTTATGAATAAGAAAATATATAACCCTATATATATACACTAAATTTTTATTTTTCTATATGCATATTTTTAGCAAAAGTGTTCAATAATATATGAGCTGTAGATGTTTGTTTGATATACTTAAAAGTATATAGTATATTTTTAGTATAAATGTTTACTGCTGAAATTTCCATGCATTTGCTAAAAATTTTATCATGTTTTTTTTGTTAAAAGTATTTTAACAAAAAAACATGATGTATTTTATTATACAAAAGAAACAAAATCAATTATAAAGCTGATATTGTTTGCATACATGGTTTAACTTTTTAATCTTTGGATTCGTGGTTTTTAAAAAAATTTTTTAAATAAATTTAATTTAAGTTATTTTAAAATTTAGCTTTAATTAGCTAAACATTATTTTTAATTTCTCTTTAATTTATAGTGTAACAAATTCTCTAAAAATAAAAAAAATTAAAAAGTTTTAATATATGAAGCTAAACCATTTACTTTTACCCAAGTTTACACAAATCATGAATAAAAACTAAAAACTGATATTTTCTCAACAAAGTAAAAAAAGTAATAACAAATATAATAAACATAATAACATAATATTAACTATTATAACTAATATAAACTAATTATAACTAATATAAACATAATATTAACTATTATTAGATTAAATTTTAATAACAAATTATACATATTAATTATGCATAATTTTACTTTAACTATATAACTATATGCAATAAAAATTTAGATAAAAAATACAACTTAAATCTTCTTACCACAAAAACCAGTTCAAACTCGTTGTCAAGTTTATATTGAATGGCAAGTTGTCCATGTGTGTAGGAACCACTGCCACTACGCTCCTACTTAAAAAACATGATCAATATTTCATCATTTGTGGACTTTTGGAAAATATAATAAACCAATAAAATAAAGTTACAAAATGACAAAAAGATCATGGTAATACATGCATTTTTACTTTTTCTTAAAAATCTATTTTTTTTTAACTACAAAAGTAACTAACAAGAAACAGCTTAAGAAGATTGTTTAAAATAAAACATTTTTTATAACTTTACATTTGCAGAGTATAATTTTTTTTCTGCTGAGGATTGTGATTCACATTTTAAAATTTCAAATTTTTAAATTGAGATATTTAAACTGCTTGGATCAATTGAGTTAAAAAACTTTTTCAAATGTCGGAATTTTTTGTTAGATGTAACAAGTACTTAAAAATTGTAAAAAAACTGTATAAAATGTATTCCTAATAATTAATTAGCTTATACCCTGCAATCCTGAAAGTATTACAAAGCATTAGAGATTTATAAGAGATTTATAAGGAATCAGAAGTAAGAATTTGACTAGCATGATAAAAAAAAGACAACTTTAGCAGATACTAACTTTTCAATAAATTGTACATGTGATACTTATAAGAAGTCAGTAGTTACCATTCATTTTTTGGGTTTAAATTCACAAGCTGCTACATTCCCCAAGCTGTCAATAAAAAGAGACTAGATTCAACATCAGTTACTTGTTATAGCAAATAAAAAGGTGATGATATTTTGTCAGTGATGATATTTAGGACTGGATTATATATTTGTGCCATTAGAAAAAACACTTCAGATGCAAAATTGTCATAAAGACTATTAATACAGTTAAATAACAATTCAGGACTATGGAGCAAATTTTAAAGTACCGAAAAGCTATGGAAATCAAGAAGATTGTCAAAAATTAAGGACAACTTTAATAAAAAAAAAAAAAATTTATAAATCTCAAAAACTTTACCAGATACCCCATTTGAAGTGAGCTTAAAGAGAAGACTAGCTTACCAGACTTTATCAAAAGCCTTTAATGTGTCAAGAGCAGTAGTTCTTTCCAAGTTACTTCCATCTAATGCATGATAGAGCCTTTCTGTTACAACAGTTAACACGCCAGCTATAGAACATGGGGGAAATATTCTGTACTGATTGTCAAAGAGTATGTTTATGTACTCAAGATAAGATATTAGAAATTTACTAAACAAAAACTCAAAATAATTGCTAACAATAAAAAGAAGACTGATTGGTCAATAATTAGAGAGGTCAGAATGTTCTCCAGAGTTTTTAATAAAAGAAACTACAGATGTAATTGTCAAGAAGTCAGGAAAAATATATTTAGTAAACTATTCATTAAATAATTCATAGTGTTAAAGAGCATTCTGAAGAATTTTTTTTCTAGAGAAGACTACAACATGAATTTTGTCTAGAACGGAAGTAATGAACGAGTTTACAAAAGAAATATATTGTTATACTTATTATATGATTGTATTTTTTTATTTGAATATTGTTAATGCTAAAAAAGTATATAGAAACAGTATTATAAACAGATTACAAACAGTAGAAGTGTTTAAAGGAGATTGTTATATTTTTGATATATATTGTTATATATACTATAATGTGATTATTTAGTTTTACTACTATTATTAAAAAAAAATGTATATTTAATTACTATTAAATATACATGTTTTATATTATTACATTGATTTACTATTGCTGTTGTTGACAATTTGTTAATATAAAGTTCTAAACCAAAAATTGTTATGTACCTGTGAGTATTATAGTTTTATACTATGAACTAATTACTAGCCAATCCTGGGGTTTTTAATTTATGTTTACATATTTATATAAGATTAACAGGCTTGCATAGAACTTAAATAGACATAAAAAATAAAGGGTCTTTCATCTTTAGAAGTTAAGTGGGACCATAGTTTTTGCATTTCTTGTGCTGAAAAAACTATAGATCTACTTAACTTCTCAAGTTGAAAGACCCCTCATTTTTTATGCCTATTGAGACGCCTCTGCCCTAAACATGAGAGCAACAAGAAATATGTGAACAACATAATTTCATTAAACATAACCATTCCTTGTTTATGTATATTTAAACACCACAAACCAGCTCATTTAAAAAGTTTTGTCCCAAATATAACCATTTAATTTAGGCATTTGACATAAACAAACAATTTTGGAAAAAAGTTGTCATTTTGTACCACTTCGCATCCTTTTGAACAATTTGAACTTTTTAACACTGTTTTCCTTGATAAGTTATACAGTTTATAAAATATATATTTATATAATATATATTTTAAAAACTATAAGTCAAACTCAAATAGAAGCAAAAAAGGTTCTTGCTTAATTATATAAAACAGATATTAGAAAGTAAAGTTTATTCAAATTACGTGTTTTGTGTCAAACGTCAAATATTTTTCGTTGCGCTGTAGTTCTTCACTACTAATCAGTCTATAAATGTTTGAAATTGTACAGCATTTATTTATATTTAATTTACAAAGTTAAAAATAAATTGATTGATTAACTTAGTCATGATTTGTTAAAATAGAAATTAGTACCTACGTACCTGCAAAATGACGTTCTTAATAAGCTCATTAATAGGACTAGTAAAATTTCCTACAGTTCCCTGAAAGTACCATAAAACAATTCCTCCTTTAGTGAAAATACTGAAAAAATCTAGCATTTTGCGAATTATTTAAGCGAGTTTGATTTTTGGGTTTGTTGTTCTGCTTTAAAAATGGTTGCATGTACAACTTAAAACGTCACAAAACATATATCGGGACAAAAGCAAAGTCGATATTTGTAACATAAATGATTTTGATATTTAGACAAATCTCGGTTTTATCTAGTGTTGTTACGACTTTTAAACAGTTCGACTGTCGACAAAATGGAACAATATATTTTCGAAAACGACTAAGATTTAGTCAGAATATGAAACTTTTTTGAAATAAATTATTTTCATATATATATATATATATATATATATATATATATATATATATATATATATATATATATATATATATATATATATATATATATATATATATATATATATATATATATAAAATAGGGCTATACCGAAGTTCGGCTCCGGCTCCTGCTCCGGCCGAAATCCGGCTATTTTTACAAATCCGGCCCGAATCCGGCTCCGGCAAAATGTTAGCAAATCCGGCATAATTTTGGCCGGATTTCTGGATGTTTATTTCATCTTTCTTACCCGTGATAACATGTATACATAATACTTATTTTTTGAACTTCATGTTTGTTTTGGTATCTGTATTTACATTTTTTTACAATTTAATTAGCTAAGCCTAATTTCAAACAAGAACGCAACAAAAAATTCGGAAGAGAAGACACACGATATTCTGCAATAATGCAAGTGTAAAGACTATGAAGTCAATCCTAATCAACTCATTAGATGAGCAAAGGCATTGAGGAGAAACCTTTTTAGATTGAAAAAAATAAAGAAAATCCAGCAAAACAATCCCGGCTGGATAATTTTTATACATTATCATCATTACAATGGCAATATATATAGATGAAATTATTCAGTCTACGCCCGCTTGTGGCACAGCACATGAACAACAATTACCAACAGGCATTGACACTCAGCTAAGCCAATATCTGGAAGAATCAGAAATATATAGACACGCTGATTCACTACAGTGGCGGAGTGACAACATCCCGGGAAAAAAAGTTCTGTAGAATTTCTCTAAATTTTTGAAACATATGGCCTAGAGAAACTCTATAAAATTTATATAAAATGTCTATTAAATTCTATAGAAATTGCTATAAAACTTTTAAACAACAAAAATGATGTTTAATAGAAAACAACCCGACGGGCATTTGTTTTTAAAAGTTACGTTCTGAATGTGTTTTAAATGTCTTTTAAACGTCTTTTAAACATTAATGTTGAAAAGACGTTTAAAAGACATTTAAAATACATTTAGATCGTAACTTTTAAAAAGAAATGCCCGTCGGGAACTGTCACTTGGTGATCTAAATAGTCAACATTGTTGACCATTTTCAACACCAAGTAGGGATATACAGGATTTTGGTTCCTGTAGTTTTGCTTCAAAATCCGGCTCCGGCTCCGATTCCGGCCGGATCTGTTAGTAAAAATCCGACAAATCCGGCTCCGGCCGGATTTGGAAAAATTAAATCCGGTACAGCCCTAATATAAAACGACTAAGATTTAGTCAGAATATGAAACTTTTTTGAAATAAATTATTTTCATATATATATATATATATATATATATATATATATATATATATATATATATATATATATATATATATATATATATATATATATATATATATATATATATATATATATATATATATATATATATATATATATATATATATATATATAAAATGAATAAAATGAGTGTCTTCTTTGTGGGAGATTTTAATTATAATGTGCTTGATTACGACACAAATAAAAATGTTAAAAATTTTATGAACATCATATTTCAAAATGGATTTATTCCAACTATAAATAAACCAACACGAATTACTAGAAATAGCGCAACTTCAATCGATCAAATAATAATTAATGAATATACAAAAAACAAAATAAAAACTGGAATAATAATATCCGATATATCGGATCATTTCCCAATATTTATAATTGCACATAAAAGTGTCGAACACACCCCTCACAAAAAAATATTAATTACAAATCGAGTATATAATGACATTTCTATGGAACTTTTTAATAATTCTTTATTTTCTGAAAACTAGGACGATATTTTACAAATTCAAACTGCAGAGACTGCTTATAACAGTTTTCTTCGGATATTCAAAGATCATTATGATAAAGCTTTCCCGGTGGTAACAAAAATTATTAAAACTAAAACATTTATAAACCCCTGGATTACACCAGGAATAATAAAGTCGTCTAAAAAAAAACAACGTTTGTATGAAGTATTTCTGAAAAAAAGAACCTATGTAAATGAACTAAGGTATAAAAAATATTAAAGTCACTTTGAATCAATTATAAAACTTTCAAAAAAGTTATACTACTCAAATAAAATAATAAAATTCAAAGGTGATACTCAAAAAACGTGGCAAGTCATTAAGGAAGTAATTGGAAAAAAAACAATTATGTTAAATGGTCTTCCAAAAAAGCTCAATTACAATCATCAAGATATTACAAAAGAATCTCTAATTGCTAAAACGTTTAATGACGTATTTGTCAACGCAGGTCTAAATTTAGCATCCAAACTAAAACACAGTGATTTTAACAAGGAGAAATACTTGACTCCTAGCAAATCAATAATGGAAAATGCGGAGTTAACCGAAAAAGAGTTATTAGATGCTGTTCTTTCATTAAAATTAAACAAATCACAAGGAGTTGATAACATTAGCAGTAATGTCATAATTAAATGTATCTTCTATATTAAAAAAATCCTTTTGCATATATTTAATCTTTCGTTTAAACAAGGAATCTTTCCAAAAAAACTTAAAATTGCAAGGGTAATACCAGTTTTTAAATCTGGAGATAATACTAATATAATAGATAATACTCCATAAAAAAGAAAAAATTCCTTTTGAACTTCCAAAACTTATTATTAGAGATTACATCGTAAAAAGAGAATGCTCGATGAAATTTTTAGGTGTAATTCTAGATGAAAACATAAATTGGAAAGACCACATAAACATGATTGAAAATAAAATTTCTAAAAATATTGGATTACTCTATAAAGCAAAACCATTCTTAGATCAATCCTGCTTGAAATACATATATTACTCATTTATACATTCTTATCTTAATTATGCAAACATTGCTTGGTGTAGCACCAATAAAACAAAGATAAAAAAGCTATTTAGCAAACAAAAACATGCAATTAGATTATTATCAAATGCACACCGCCTCTCACATTCAAGACCATTGTTTAACAATCTAAAAATAATAAATGTGTACCAAATAAATATATATCATCTTCTGATTTTTATGTATAAAAATAATAACAATTCAATACCAAATATCTTCAAACCATTATTTAATAAAATTCAACACAAATACGTAACTAAATATTCTAACAACAACTTTGTTCAACCCAAAACTATATACGACTCCACCAAGTTTTCAATAACTGTTAGAGGACCTAATGCATGGAATAAGATAGTCAGTAATGATATTAAAACACTTAAAACTCTTGATCAGTTTAAACAAAAACTAAAACTATTACTTTTAAATAATGAACAAACAGATAATTATTTTTAAATCTATCTATAAAAATATTATATTTTAAAACTATCTACTAATGCATACTTTATTTGTCTGGAAGGTCTAAATTCTTTAATTTTATATAGGTATTACAGTCTGTTATATTATAAAAAAAGTACTTATAAAGATTTTTAGCATTTTTAGATTTCATTAGTTTAAATAAATTTATTAGTTTTCTTAAATAAGAGAGAGAGAGGAAAAATAAAAAAAGTAATCTTTTTTGAGTTTTAATTTTTTATATTAATATTTTGTAATTTGTTTTTGAGGAATTAATATATTACACTTTATAAGAACAGATTGTAAATTAAATTTTACGTTTACTTTTTTCATGTTTTTTAGTTTTTTGATATTTTTGTTTTTCTGAAAAATTTTTAAATTTTTCTTTCAAAAAATAAAATCGAAAAAATATCTTTCAAAACTTTGAACTATTAAACTATTTGGCATTTTATATAAACGTCTTTGGAATATTTTGCTTTTTTCTTAATTTTTTAATTTTTATTTTAGTTACCATGTATTTATATAAATGTCTAGACAAACAAGGGACTTGGTGATAAGACAACCCCGTCTTCTTCTCGTCCTTGCCATTTTTAAATATTTTAAATTACGGAACTTGTAAATATTTGTACGGCTAAATTATAAAAATAAAAAAAAAAAAAAAAAAAAAAATGAAAAAAATTTTTGTTAAGTGATTTTCTACTAATTTATAATTGCTCTGTTCTTTTAAGAACATTGAGATTCTAGATTTATAAACACTATAAAAGAGAAGTGCTGAATATGGAAAAATATTATAAATTGACCAATATTTATTATTTTAGTTTTGAACCACCTGTCACAGCCGCTCGAACTCAACATTTTAAACAAACAAATATTATGCTAAAAAGGCTTCAACCATTTGACTTTTATTTTAATTAAATATAGTATTTTTTTAAACTGCGGTGTAATTTTAGTTGATAAATATTGAAGATATTGCAAAAAAAAATAGCAACAGTAATAAAAATAATAGTAACTAAACCAACAAAAACAACAAAATTTAAAAAGGTAAGCTATATGAAAAACTCTTTAAAACTTTAAGACTATGAGAAATAAACAAAGTATGTGTAATGACAAATAGAATATTAATACTTATATTAAAAAATCACTGATCATAAATCAAAAATCACAAAAGTACTGATAATCAGTATTATAATTAGAGATTATATATTGATAATAATAAAAATAATTAATCATTATAACATAATATATAACATTAATTAATTAATTCCAGTATAATAAAATAATTAATAAAAATTATGATGATATCAGCTGATTTAGCGCACAGTATTACTAACCCTTGTGTTGCTTCATTAAATGTAGCCTTAAAATAATGACCAGAAGAAAATTTAGCAAAGCACTTAATAATCAGCCAATTAAAACAACGTGTTAAAATTTTAAAGATAAAAACAGCAAGATTAGCCTACAACTACTTCATAGTGAAATGTTCTTCAACAATCACAGCTGCCACAAAAAAAAATCAAAATCTCCGGAAAGCAATTTTAACAAAAGTGACACCCAACTTTAACAAAAGTGACACCCAACTTTAACAAAAGTGACACCCAACTTACAAATAAACTACTGGAATTGTAAAATTAAAGAGTAGCACAAGGATGCGAAAACCACTAAAAGCAACTTTTTTACCTAATATAGAAAACTTTTTAAAAAGTGTTTATTTATTTTGGTAGGTGTTTGAAATAATTGCACATATTGAAATATCAAAAATATTTTAAATCCCGGTGTTAATTTGTTTCAGCAGTAGTGTAGTGGTTAGAGTTCTAGTTTCAGAACTGGAGGTCCATTGTTCAAAGCCGGCTAACGCAATATATACATCGTTGTTAGGGAAGGAGGCATGAACTTCCTGTGTAAATGCTATGATAAGACCGTCTTTGAAAATCTTTTAAAACCTGCTTCAAATAAAATAACTTTATGAATGAAAGAACCATATTTAGGCTCTGAATGCAGAGAACAACAAGAGTTGACAAACGGCAAGCGTCTTAATAAAAACTTTTAGTTTTTTTTAAAAATATATTCAACTATTTAAACTGTATTGCTATAACAACATCAATTTTTAATCTTCTTTTTAAAAACACATGCACTTATACAAAAAATTTTAAATTTTCTGTTACTTTATTTTACATTTTCTGTTACTCATAGGTACAAGAATTTTATTAAGGATAGTTTTTTATGCAGCACGACACAAAGGTGTTAAAGACGTCAAAAAAAACGTTCAAAGGTGTGTATGCGTTTTCTTGACACAAAAACGCGAATTGTATTTAATAGAGACATTAGTTGTCTTCAAATTGTAATTTAAAACTTTAGATTGACTTTTTATATTTTACACCACACTCTATGGTATCCTTTTTATTATCACTAAAAATCTGATTTGAAATCTAGATATGTTTGAGTTTTCAATTTTTTTTTCTTTCTAATTTTTTTAGTGTTTTCAATTTTAATTAATTTAATATCGAGAACTTTTTATTCAATAAAATCTTTTGTTTTATTTTGAAAATAAAAAAGATTCTTAAGAAATTTTTTTTAGAAGAGAACATTAAAAAAAATGTCGAGATGCTGTTTTTACGAAAGTTTCTTGAAGATGCTAGCTTTGTTTTTGAGTTTCCTGTTTTTACGTACAGAAAAAGCAACAGTACCAGATACAATATTTTATTGGGACACTGAACCTTTTATATTTTTCAATGAAGAAAAACAACGGCTTGATGGAGTTTTGCCATTAGCATATATGACCTTAGGAAAATTATGTTCGCCCTCCTCCGAAAAATTTCAAAATTTTACTGTAATAAAAGAAAACTTTACTGAAGATAATTTTTATAAAATGATAGAAGAGACCAGTTTTAGCAATGACTTACAAAATGGTGACAATAGAATATGGTTTCCATTATTTATTAACCCTGATCAAACAAAATTGGCAGCTAAAAATTTAAAATCTGTTATATTTATATATTCTCCTAACGTTGGGGTTATAGTCAATAAATACAAAATAACTCTTTTAAACAAATTTTTTGAAGCTATTAAACTAAGCTACCCAATTGCAACCATTGCTGGTGGATTTATTTTGCTTTTTTCAACACTTTTATGGTTAGCTGTAAGTTGCATTTAATGTTTTATTTATAAATATTTATATAATTATAAATAAAAAACTTTGAATATTTTATGTAAAAAATATAACAAGAAACTTTAATTTAATTGGAAAATTTTATTTTGGAATGTTTAATTTGAACTTTTTTATTTAGATAATAATTTACCTCACTTTTATATCTTATTTATCTCACTCAGAATTCATTACTTTTGAAAATATAACACTGGGCGACGACACGGGTTTTAAGTGTGGGGGGGGGGCACAATCATCAGTTTGCGATAAAAGTCCTCTATATCAAGATTTTTCTTAAAAAAAGAAAAAGAAAAAAAAAAGTGTCCCCTGGCCCCCCTCCCCGGTGTCGTCGGCCTTGTAACACATTTATCTCGCTCATGATCGAATATTTTTAAAATACGAAATCTTTTTATGCGAGATATTTATTTCATATTGTTAAGTTAGTTAAGATAATATTTAATCAAATTTGTTTAAACTAGTTAATCTCCATTCTTGCATATATTCATCTTCTTGCTATATATAATCATTTTTGTTGATACACGGTATCTCGTCACACCTAGCATGATGTTTAAATGAAAACACACTTAGCATGATGTTTTAGCAGCAACTAATTTGATTGTGTTTTTTTTTATTATTATCACGAGAATTAAAAATACTTTTTTTAAAAAAGAAACGCAACATTTTCATTTTAAAAGTTAAGTTAATAAGAAAGCAAAACAAAACAAGAGAAAAAGAACTAATCGTTTGTATTTGTATTTACAAACATCAACAGATGCGTTTAATTTCTAATAACAAAATCAAAAATAAATTATTATTTATACATGCGCGAAAATAAAACGAATTACTTTTGATTTATGTGTGAAAAGAAATAAGTGTGTAACAGTAATTGTTATGCAACGAAAAGGTTTTCAACTAAAGTAATAATTCTTCGTGGTGATTACACATAAAATTGGATCCTGTTATACAATGTTTATATTACGCTTGACTATTTTTCTCAGCCTTAAACAAAAACCTTTTAAAACCAATTGCAGTTCATTTTGCGATGGATAAATTTTAATATCAATTTCGTCTTCTTTTCATAATTTCTAGTGTATTTTTCTTTATGCAATAACAGGTTAAAAATACGGAATGAAAAATCTTATAAAACAGATAAAACAGACTCTGAAAATTTTTTTAAGTCAAATGGAAAATCACCAATTTTATACAAGAGATAACTTTGTCACGTGGACAGTATTATATTTTTATTTTACCTAGTTAAAATAAAAATAGGATATTTTTAAAGAAAAAAAATTTGAATACAACATTAAACTTTAAAATAAAAAGTGTTTAATAAATAATACAATAAAGAGGGTTAAAAATACTTTTCACGAAAAAAAACAAAAACCAAACTGAAACATTTTATTTTGCTCTAAATCTGAAAATGCTAATGATGATCATAAAAAATAATTTATAAAACTTGTTTACGGAATGACTTTTTTTTTTTAATTTTTTGTTCTTTAATCTTTACAAATTCGTAATATATAATATAATCGTTCACAGAGTATAATAAAATTAATAAAAAAAAAAAAATTACGCTTTACAAAGAATGAATAAAATAAACTGTAACGTATTAAAAATTAATTTAAAGAACGCGGGAAACTTGCAGAAGACCGACCAAGAAACCGCTAAGCGTTAATATTTTAAAATACTTCAGTTTAAAATAAGTTTATATTTAAAAAATAATGTTATGAGTTTCGGCAGAATAAAAATAAAAATGCAAAATGCAAAAAATAAAAACAAAGAATGTAGACAAAAAGTTTTTAATTTTTTAAATTTTATTACATGATAAATGAATGACTAAATGTTTTTACTATACACAATAGAAACGCAAAGCTGGTTGCGCCAAAGGTTGCGCCATTTGTGGAAAGAGTAAAGATAATTCAAACTTTCCACTTAAATTACAAGCAGAGGTTTTCTGGAATTGAAGAAATGCGTGATAATTATTTGAAATAGTTGCATAATTGTCCTGAAATTATAAACAAAATCTAACAGTAAATCCTATCGTAAGCTATGCTAATGTCTATGGGATTCGTTGTTTTACAATTTAATGACATATGAAACAGTTGTTATGTCCTCTAAGGAACAAGTTTCAATTTTTATTCGGTGCGTTAATGAATAGTTTCAAGGGTTGAATTAACGCATCGCGATTTGCGATATCTGTTAAACTATCTGGTCTTCAAAGTTTAAGTTTATGGAAAACCACGAAATTTACGGAATAGGCGAATAAACTTTAATTTGTTAGTGAAAATGTTATGAAAAACAAAACAATAAATTTATGACTACAAAAGTAATAATACTACAGTGTTGTTACTTTTATAACACTCTTTTATGTTACATTTATAGCTTATTATTTGATCAAACAACACATAATCAAGATATTATAAATAAAAATGATTTAGTTAAGTAATTCCAAACTTTAATTAAAGTAGTAATGCATCTAGAAAAAATACAATGGATATTTAAACAATGTTAAAAACCTCAGCAACTTTTACGAATACATATTTTTATAAACAGTTTAGCATTTCTAAACATCTTACAAACGGTCCGGAAAAAACGCGCGTTCACTTTTAAATCAACCAATGAAAACACTGGTAATTTACTTCTTAGGAGAAACCTATATTACTAGGGGAGGGATGGGGAGGCTAAAAACTTAAATTTTGTTTTATTATTTAATCAATTAAATCATAATAAAAGTAAAGACAAAAAAATATATTTCTAAATATACTTCTTTATAAGTAAAATTTATTAAATTGAACACCTCTGTTTTAAGTTTTAAGTAAATATCAGTACTACTCTCAGTGGCGAAACTGCGGGGAAGGGGGGGGGGTGAAGGGGGGTGGGGGGTGGAGCAGACAAAAAGTGTCCTAATTTTAAACTAATTTTAGGTTGCATGGGAGATAAGGGGCTCAATTTAAAAATCGTGCGGAGGGGGGGGGGGGGGATTTTGTTACTGACTACTCTAATGTGCTTAATACAAAGGTAGGTGGGGGTGAGAATTGTATAAAATGGGAGGAGAAAATAATAAAAAAAAGCGGGAAGATTTACAATGAAAGTTTTATTATTTATCAGTTACCAATGTATATTTTTTTTAATTTTAAGGCCAATTTTCACTGAATTTTTGTTTTAAGATATAGTTTTTTCTTTATAACAAGTGACTTGTTATAAACAAATAACACGATTTTCAAAATCAGCCCCATATCGCCCATGCAATCTAAAATTAGTTTAAAATCAGGACACTTTTTGTCTGTTAACCAAAGCCCCCTCCCCCCCTCCCCCCCTCTCCGCAGTTTTGCCACTGAGAGTAGTACTGACATTTACTTAAAACTTAAAACAGAGGTGTTCAATTTAATAAATTTTACTTATAAAGAAGTATATTTAGAAATATATTTTTTTTGTCTTTACTTTTATTATGATTTAATTGATTAAATAATAAAACAAAATTTAAGTTTTTAGCCTCCCCCCTCCCTCCCCTTTTAATATAGATTTCTCCTAAGAAGTAAATTACCAGTGTTTTCATTGGTTGATTTTAAAGTGAACGCGCGTTTTTTCCGGACCGTTTGTAAGATGTTTAAAAATGCTAAACTGTTTATAAAAATATGTATACGTAAAAGTTGCTGAGGTTTTTAACATTGTTTAAATAGCCATTGTATTTTTTTTAAAAAAGTAACAACACTGTAGTATTATTACTTTTGTAGTAATAAATTTATTGTTTTGTTTTTCATAACATTTTCACTAACAAATTAAAGTTTATTCGCCTATTCCGTAAATTTCGTGGTTTTCCATAAACTTAAACTTTGAAGACCAGATAGTTTAACAGATATCGCAAATCGCGATGCGTTAATTCAACCCTTGAGTTTAAGATTGAGGATCTTTTAATGTGGCTTTACCAAACCAAAAACATCAAGAGCGCAACATTGTTCAATTTTTTAATGAACGTTTTGGGTTAATTTAGTCTGTTGATCCAGAACTGTGAGGGCTAATGACTCGATGGACAATTTACGTACACTACTGCGCTCATAATTTCACTTTAGTAGCAAATGGTTCTGTTAAAACTCAAACAGAAAACAAGAACATAATAAATCTAGTCCAACTATTCATGGAACTTATCTATGGCTTTTTAAACGCCTGAAACGTTTTATTTTGCATTGGATGTATAATATAATACATTAGTTCAACCATTTTATCTCACTCGCTTAATCCGGAAAATAACTCCAACAATCCTTAAAAATTACCATTTTGAGGTGATTGAAACATTTTATTTGTTCCTCTAAAAATTTCTCAAATAACGTCATCATTACTGCAACATTTGTTGAAAGACCTAACCAAAAATTGTAACTTTTTGAGTCATTGATTCCTGAAGTAATATTTAGAGCAACCTGATAAAATGAAATCAAAACAATACACGTGGCCTGTAGTTGGTGTGTAGCAAAGCCAATGTCGCTCCTAATTTTCTTTTTTTGTTTTGTTTATTTTGTTGCCAAAAAATAATTTTAAATGTAGTATCTATCTTAATTATTTTGCATTTTTTCAAAATATCAAAATGATTGGTTGCAGTGTCGTCCACCCTGAGTTATCAAAATGATCACTTGCAGTGTCGTCCACCCTGAAATATCAAAATGATCACTTGCAGTGTCGTCCACCCTGAAATATCAAAATGATCGCTTGCAGTGTCGTCCACCCTGAAATATCAAAATGATCGCTTGCAGTATTGTCCACCCTGAAATATCAAAATGATCGCTTGCAGTGTTGTCCACCCTGAAATATCAAAATGATCGCTTGCAGTGTTGTCCACCCTGAAATATCAAAATGATCACTTGGAGTGTCGTCAACCCTGAAATATCAAAATAATCGCTTGCAATATCGTCGGCCCTAAAACATCAAAATGATCGCTTGCAGCAATCATTTTGATATATTACGGTCCGTTTTAAATCAAATTTGACATCTGCTTATCAGTT